AGGAAGGGGGAAGAGGAGAGTTCAACCCCCTAATAGGCTGACCTATGATGCGCCGGGAAAGCAGGGCAAGACAGCCCTGGCCGGAGCGGCAATGATGGTCGGAGACGACGAGGAGAGTGACTACGAGGAGTGTGCCTTCGCGTTCTTCTCTCCGGTGGAGATGCCGGGAGAACCAGCAACTCTCAAGGAGGCTTTGGAGAGTAGTGATGCTGAGGAGTGGAAGAAGGCCATGGAGAGTGAGCTGAAGAGCATCGAGGAGAATGACACGTTTGAATTGGTGGAGCTACCGGAGGGGCGTACGGCGATAACGTCCAAGTGGCTCTTCAAAATCAAGTCGGATGCCGACGGCAAGTTCGAGCGCTACAAGTCTAGGCTTGTAGCCAAGGGGTACCAGCAGAAGGAGAAGGTGGACTTCAAGGAGCTGTTTGCCCCTGTGGTGAAGCCGACGACGCTGCGAACCCTATTCGCGGGAGCCGCCATCAAAGGATGGGTAGTAAAGCAAATGGACATCGTAACGGCATTCCTTAACGGCATCCTTGAGGAGGAGATTTTTATGGCGCAGCCAGAGGGGTTTGATGATGGTAGTGGCAGAGTGTGGAAGCTGAAGAAGGCCCTCTATGGGCTGAAGCAGGCCCCTAGGCAATGGTACATGAAGCTGCGCGAAGTGTTGGAGGGGATCGGCTTCACTCCCTCAACGGCCGATCACTCCTTGTTCATGCTTGGCGAGGGGGAGCAGAGGAGTTTCATGGTGGTTTATGTGGATGACATCCTCATTTTCTCACCCTCTTCTGACCTTGTGAAGGAGGTGATGCTGAAGCTTCAAGACAAGTTCAAGTGCAAGGCCCTTGGTGACGTGAGCTTCTACCTTGGGCTCCACATCGAATGAGATGTGGAGAAGCGGTGCATGCGGGTGCATCAACGAAAGTACCTGGATGCATTGGTTGCCAACTTTGGGCAGAGTGAAGGCCATGTGGCTACACCCTTTCCCTCTGGGTTCAAGTGTGTGAAGGGACCAGAGGAGGAGAGCGTTGGTGAAGAGGAGAGGCGCCGATTTCACTCGTTGGTGGGCAGCCTCATGTATGCGGCGGTAAACACCCGACCGGACGTCGCGTTTGCTACCGGGCAGCTGGCTAGGGTTGTGCAATGCCCTAATGAGGAGCAGGTAGCAGCTGGAATGAGGGTGGCCAAGTATCTTGGCCAAACACCGACCGTTGGGCTGCAATACTCGGCGGCGGCACAAAGGCACCAAAAGGGCGCGGATGGTGTTGAACCCCGGCGTTTGTTCCTCACCGCCTACTCGGATGCTTCATATGCATCAGAACCAGAGGACATGACAAGTGTGGGAGGCTTCATATGCTGTGTTGGTGGAGGCCCAACTGCTTGGGAGAGCAAGAAGCAGGTTGACCAAGCTTTGAGCTCGGTGGAGTCCGAGTACATGGCACTCTTCCGTGCCGTACGGGAGATTGTGTGGCAGCGGCGTTTGTTGGCTGAATTGGGGGAGGAGCAGCAAGGACCTACCCCACTGTACTGCGACAGCCAGGGTGCCATTGCTCTTGCTAAGAACCCTGTGTTGCATGGACTCACGAAGCACATGAGGGTGAAGTGGCATTGGACGAGGAGCATGGTAACCGCGGGTGAAGTTGAGTTGCGCTACGTGAAGACCACGGGGCAGCCGGCTGACATGATGACCAAGAGGCTGGTGGAGCAGCAGCATTGGAAGTGTTGCAAGCTGGCTGGGATGGCTCTGAACTGAGAGAGCAACATATCCTAAGGCCAACAATCCGAGGGGGAGTTTGTTGGTGCAACCCTACGGTTTGCACTCGGCTTGTTGTCCGTGTGCGTGAATGTGTGTGTGTATGGAATGGTATGAGGGCATGGGATAATATATATTTCATGCTTATAATTGTGTGTGAATGTTGAGTCATGATGTCGAGTGTGTGTGTCGAGTCAATAGCGAGTTATCGCTAGACGCGTGTTACGCGGTCGTTTGTGTCTCGCGCGCGGTTTCTACTTTGTCGTGCGCGGTTTCTATTTTGTCCTGTGTCGAACGTTCGGCGTGTCGCAGGTGTGTGCAGAAGACCCATCAAGAACTCAAGGATGAGTTTGTGATGAAGAGCCCGAGCCTTGGTGTCAAGCCTCAAGTGATTTCGAAGCTTGCGAAAAGGGTACACCTCAAGATATTGAAGATAGTTACATTACTTTGTGTAGTGTAACATTTCACTTGGTGTAGGCCCTAGTGAAGGGTAGTTTCGAGACCCTTCGTGGTTGGGGACAGTGTGGCACTGTTCCACATCACTGTACCTCGGCTCTTGGGGTTTGTAGGAGCTGGGAGTCATTCCCAACTCGTAACTCTTCCTATCTTGTGTTCTAAGACTATAGTGGCTGCCATAGTACCGTTCGTTCAAACCGACGCTGTGTCGTCAATTCTTTATCTAATCGTGCAATCTAAATTGCTAATTCTAGACGACGTGAAGACGCTCCAGATCCAATTTGAATCAAGTCATTTGCAGCTGTGAGCAGAACGCTATCAACGTTTGAAGCCGCTGTGCAGAAATCCGTCTGTGCTCTCTATCTTTCGTTTTAGGCACATTCAAGCCTATTGTGACTATAACACAATGTTGGCTGTCTGAGGTGTGATGATGTTCCATGTTAGCAATATAGTTCCAATTTGCATCGTCTCGTTCTGTGATGAGTGTAGGGGGTGAGTCATGGATTTATGGTGGCTTCTTCTCAAGGGGATTCGTCCAACAATGAGTTCATTGAGGGTGGGATTACTGACTTCCTCTGCTTTGACTAAGCCTAGGCCATCCTTAAACCTAGTTCTTGAGCTACATTCCTGTCTCGACATGCTATACAGCTAGTAATTTCCTGCCCACCAGCATGTAACTCCCGCGTCCTCCGCTCGTAGCTTGTCCCGTCCACCGGTAGCTCGTCACCTTCTGACCATGGCGTGTTCGGCCCATGGCGTGTGCACACCTGCAAACCCGCCGACGAACCCGCCAGCAAGCGTGCCGACAAACCCGACGACAGACCCGCCGACGGACCTCCCAACGGACCCGCCAACGGACCTGCCAGTGAGCGCGCCAGCGAGTCCTGCTAACAAACCCACTGATGGACATGTCAGCGAGTGCGCCGATGAACCCGCCGACAGACTCGCCATTGAGCACCCCGTCCAAATCCGTACCCCACGACCCGCACCTCGCACCTTCCGACCATCTTGTCCCGCCCCGCCCTCTCCCTGCCCCATTTTATCCGTGCCTCGTCGCCCCCTCTACCATGCTTACCTTTTCCGTGCTGGGCGGTGGTGGGTGTGGCGACTAGAGAGGGGCAGCAACGGGAAAGGCTATGGTGGTGGCAGAGTGGCGACTCAGAATGGCCACCCATGCCTTGCCTGTGGTTTGCCGAGAGTAGTTGCTGTCCGTTCTGTGCCTGTTCCGTCATGTCTCTTTCACCACCACTATCCACGGAAAATTATTGTTCACTTTTATCATGGGAACGCCAGGCTTGTGCAGCCATTAACATAGGTACCAATAGGCCAATGAGGGTGCCTAATGTTGTTGTCACCGCGTTGGCACCCCGGTCGCTTTCGACTCCTCTCCCCTTCGGCACGTACACCAAGCACCTGCTGCTGGGTGTTCAACTGCAGCCAGAAACCTACTCCATCGCGGGGCGTTCAATCGCGGTGTTTCCGCTGCTACTTGGTGCATGCTGCTCGTCGGCTTGAGAGGGGGCCCCTTTGCTGGTGTTCCCACGCCCGGTGAGGGGGTTTTACAAATGTTTCTCTTGAGATGGGAAGCTCTGCACATGGTTGTTCATATATCTGCCTCCAATGTAACTTTAGTGTGATTATTCTATAGGTGGTGCACCTCTGTCTTTGTTGCTTTGCTATATGTACCTCGTGTTCTATAATGAAGTCAACCATTCTCGACATTCTCCTTGACACAACTCTCTCGATATCATTGGTCTAGGCTTCTAAGCATAGGTTCGTATCTTGACATGAGCCCGTTTCTTCTTCAGGTTCCGTGAAGACATCTTCCCACTTGTGGTAGTATTGGATGCCTTTTAAAAGAAAAGGAGGAGGGTTTTGGCGCATCATGCAGACGAACACATTGCATTTTTCCTTGTTGTCGGCAGGGATGCGCGTAGGTACTTGGGTATAGCTGACAATCGCGAGTGGCAAGATGGTGGAGTTCCGCAGCGGAGCCCCTTGATGAGTCCTTGCTTTTTACTGGTATGATGTACGACAATAATTACTCGTACGAACATGTCATTAGGGAAGTGATCGCCGCTTTTCTTGAATTGGTATCTCATGTTTCTGGAGCGATTGATGTATGCTCCTACATTTTCCTTAAGAGCCATTTTGACGGTGTTGAGTAAGCTTAACAGGAAAATAATTATCACTGGGTCGGCTGCCATGTACATTTTTTGCAAGTACTCCCGGGGCAACTGCGCGAGTGCCCATTGATACTCGAAGGAGCAAATCCTGAGCTGTTCCGCAAGAGAGAGATTGCCGATCAGCATAGTATAGGTGAGCAGCGACTCGTTGTTGTGCGGTGTGATCTCTTGAGGAAATGTACCCTTGTAGTACATCCAAATTTGCGCGTTTTGCGCTATAAGCTCAAACAAGAAATCCTTCATGCCGAAGACTGTGCTCGTATTGAGCTTAGATGTGGTCAGCTCATATCGAGTCCAGGAGACGTCGATGTGTGTGCCGTGAAGTGCGCCGAGCTGCTAAAAGCCGAACTTATCCAGAGGTCCGAGAGCGAGTATGCGGCGGCCACGGTGGTAGCCTCTTGGACGAACATCACGGGGGACATATAGGCGAAACACATGTGTGGAGTTTACAGGGGGTTGAACAAAGTGACCATGCCGGATCGCTATCCTATGCAGTCGCACGGAAGAGATATTCGATAAACTGCAGAAGCCTCGGTTTTCTCTACACTAGACCTCAGGCAAAGGTTTAACCAAATTCAGATAAAGGAGGACTCAAGAATCAAGACTCAGTCACTCACCACGTTGAGCAGCCATGCGACTTCATCCAGAGCCGACACCAGCAGCGCCGTGTCACCGGCGTCTCTCATCTCCGCCCGCAGCTGCTGCAGCTTCGCCCTCACCGTCTGCCCCGCGAACTCGATCGGGTGCACCCTCATGGGCGCTGATGGGGGCGGGGGGCGCTGATGGGAAGCACAGGGGGGGCGAAAGGGAGTACAGACGTCTGAAAAAGCAGGGTTGCTTCTACTGTGCGTAGCAGTGATATCAATTGACCCCGTACCCCCCCCCACACCACCTTCCCCTGGCTTTCCCACCCAGCACACACGCACCTCCGCCCCCCACACGACGTCAACAGGGTCGCTCTAGCGCAGCAGCGGGATGATCGACCCCCCCGCCCCCCCCCAGCACACCCACCTCTGCGGCCCCCACTGGCCCTCCCCCTCTACCCACTGACCTCCGCGCCCCAAACCACGTCAACGGGGTTGCTCTCGCGCAGCAGCGGCACCACCACGGACGACGACGCTGCCAGCGTGTCCGCCAGGCCCCTCACGTTTTCAGCCGAATGCACAAACTGAAGGCGAAAGAGGGAGGGGGGAGGGAAAGAAGAGGGGGAAGGATGAACACATACGCACGCTGCAAGCGTGTCCGCCAGGCCCCTCACTTTGTCCGCCGAGTGCACAAACTGGGGGCGGCGGGATGGTGGAGGGTGAAGTGAGAGAAAGGGGGGGAGGGATACTAGACTCAAATGCTGTTAGAGTGTCTGCTAAACCCCTCACATTCTCGGCTTGCGCCAGCCACTCCGCCACAGGACGCGTTCCGGGCATCGCCCCATCGCTACCGACTCTATCTCCATCTGTGCCACCTCTCTTCCCCCGCCCTATATTCGAGTGACTTTGGAGAATTCTCAAAAGCCACAGGACGCGTTCCAGGCATCGCCCCATCGCTACCGAATCTATCTCCATCTGTGCCACATCTCTTCCCCCGCCCCCCTTATCCAGCCTCCCCTCGCTCCACACTCTGCTGCCCGGGCGCACAGCTTCTGCCAGCCAGCCCGCGGCATAGGGCACGCAAGCCACCCCCCCTTTATCAGTACCGACTCTAACCCCCGTCATTGCCATTGCCACCCCCCTTTCCCCAAGCCCTTCCCCCTGTGAATACCGGATCAACGCCCGCTCTGCTGTCCGTGGGGAGCGCTTCCGCCAGCCTCCTACCCCAAGCCACCGCCCCCTATTTCCCATCCTCCATGTTGTTTACCGGGTCCACCCCCACTCGCCCCTTTTTCCCATCCTCCATTCCACTTACCGGGTCCACCCCCACTCGGCTGCCCGCGGGGAGAGCTTCCGCCAGCCAGTCCGCGACGGAGGGCACGCCGGGCATGCCCGCGCGCATGAGGTCCCAGCCCAGCGGAAGCTGCTGCTCCGCCTGCAGGAAGTAGCGCCCGTCCGTCCACAGCAGCGCGCGCTCGCGCGTGACCACCGCCGTGCCCGCGGAGCCCGTGAAGCCCGAGATGAACGCGCGGCGCTCGAAGCACGGCGCCATGTACTCGCTCTGGTAAGCAGGGGGGGGAGGAGGGGGGAGGTAAGAAAGAATGTGACAGTACCGCTCTCTGGTTACCACCGCCGCGCCTGGTGATGGCGCTGGTGTAGATGGCACAAGGCCATAACAAAAGGGCCGAGAGTAGCATGCTTATATCGAGCAACGAGGCGAATTCTGTTCGGAGCCTAGAATGCGCAGGTTACGGGAAAGTAACCTGGTGCGGGTCTTCCGACGGGATGATAAAGGCGTCGACGCCCTTCCCCCCATCCACTTCCGCCATTACTTCCCGCAACCGGCGCAAGCGTTTCTCCAGCTCCTTCCCCCGCTTCTGCGCCTTCTTCCCCGCATCCTCCGCCTTCTTCCCTGCATCCTCCGCCTTCTTCTCCGTATCCCCCGCCGCCGTATTCTCAGCTACATTCTCCCCGTCTGCAGCTGTTTTTGCGTCGGCGGAAGGAGAAGAGCGTTCGGCGGAAACTTCCTCAGCGCCGATTTTCCGTGCGCGCGCAGAGCAGGTGAGGAATCGACGGCGAGATTCGCTACCGGAAAACGCGGCGGGTGAAGCGGCGAAAGAGACGGACGGAGTTCTGGTTAGCCTTCCGGAGCGACGTCCATTTGGAATAGAAAAGGCACCGGAGGATGGACTACTGCGTGTGCTGGAGGCCACGCCGATAAATGTTCTAGAAACATGCGACGATACCAAGTGCATGGCAAAATCGTGAAGAGCGGTGGAGGGGAGAAGCGGGGTGGACTGGCCGAGAGCTAGGGTGAGGGAAGAAGCTGGAATGGCGGTGTGGCTTAACATTGTGGAAGAGGCGATGCGGAGAATTGACGGACGCGCGACCACGACGAATGGCGTGGATGCTGATGCTGACGCTGACACTGCAGCGGCTACGGCTACTCGCAGCATGCGAGTACCAGATCATGTCGATGCCCAACTTCTGGCCTACTCCCAAGTACACCAGCAATTCATGTCGACAGAGCAGCACGAGTTTGATTCGTAATATTTCACTACTTTACCAGGTCAGTTGGAACGACGCTGAATTCATTGATCCCAGTCGCAACTTCGCGTTCTCAGCGCGAAACCAAAAGCCAGTTAGGCCAGCAATAGCAGCAAGGACGAAAAAGATGCCCGTTAGCGGAGGTAGCCTCGGGTAGTTATAGAGCTTCCAGACCAGGGTGATGAACGGAAGGTAATGAAATATATCGAACGAATCGTACATATTTGGAAAATAAACCTACTATACAATACATTAGCAGCCCACCAATTCACAGCCCACCGAATCGCAGCCCACCAAGGGAACGACGGAGTACGTCCGTTACCATCACATACGAACTAGCGAAAGATCGCGAATTTAGTTGAGAGGCTCCATGGGGAAGTTCTCGACGGGGCTTAACTGCTTGGCGCGGTGGTACTCGGTGTACGCGCAGTCCACGGATAGCACGGAGCTCGACTCGTACATACGGGGAGTGCCGTCCAGGAACCCAGCACCCTCGGTGCTTTCTGCTGAGATCGGACGGTGCAGGGTCGCGATCATCTTCTGGAAGTCGGCGGCGCGCGCAGCGTGGTCGGGGCGGTACGTCTGGCCGAGCACGCCGTGCACGTCGTCGGTGTGCTCCATCTCAACGATCCCGACATTAATGTGCGCCTCGGCCTCGGTGGGCGTCTGCAGCTTGGGGTTGGCGACACGCAGACGCAGGTCGAGCGTCACAAGCCCGTCGATGACGAGCGTGTAGTAGTCCACGTCATACGGGCCCTCCTTCTCCAGAGCCGCGAATCGCAGAGTCAGACCGCCCTCGGTAGTCACCTCGTCACCCACGCTCATCCTCGGCATCTCCTCGCCGTCGATCTCGATCGTCTTCATGAACCCATCACCGCGCTCCTGCTTCTTGCCAGAGCGCGCCGCGAGCCGCACCTTGTGGTCGGCGCCGTTGGCGAACCACACGATGCCCAGCTCCTTGATCCACGTGTGCACGGCCTTGCCGTCCACAACGAGAGCCGCATTCTCCGTGTCGTCCGAGTAGTACCCGCGCAGCAGCATGTTCACGTGCAGGTCCTTGTCCGTCAGCAGGCAGAACGCCTTGTCGGGGCGCCCGTTGAAGTCGAAGTGCGTGCCGTACGCGCCCACCAGATGCGGGTCGTCCTTGATGTGTCCCGCGGGGTTGCACTCGCCGCCCGTGCGCACCTGCAGATGAACCGGCTTCGAGTCCGTCGCGTACTGCGCCGTCAGCTCGCCGCACGAGTAGTCGATGTTGTCGTGCACCAGGTAGCACGCGCCCTCCGTCTTCTTGCCGTCGATCGTGATGTCGGGGATGTACTGCCAGTACGTGCAGCCAGCGTATCCCGCGCACGTGTTGCAGCACGTCTGCGGGGACGCCTTCTTGAGCGTGAGAGGGTTGCCCTTCACGTACACCTCCACACCCAGCTTGTTCTTGAGCAGGTTCGATGTCTTCCACTTGGCGGCGATGCCGCCCTTGCTGCAGTTGGCGGGCGTGCACGCGCCGTCCCCGGGCTTGCCCAGGTCCTTGTGGCACTTCATTTTGTTCCATCCGGCCACTTTCACGTCCACCATCAGCACACTGTCCGTGCTCGGGCTCACGATGGTCATGCCCTCAAACTTGTCAAGCCCGCCGGCGGCCGCCGCCTTCTCGATGCCAGGAGGGACCTCCGTAGCCACGCCATTCGCGCCCTTGGCATTGTCCAGGTTGACCGCGGGGTTGCTGGGTCCCGTCACGACGGATTGTCCTGCGGACGCCACCGCCAGCAGGACGGCGAACGACACGACGAACAGTAGGCGCGCCATTATGATAACTTCGTCTAAGAATCAAACTCGCGAGCAACTTTCGCAGGTTAATTTAGACGTTTAATCAGAAGATAAATACAGAGCCGCTCCTCTCCTTGACCAAGGTTATTGGTTGAAAGAATGGGAGCACTCCTATTTGTGCCTCGCGGATGCGGTCGGTTGGCTCGGCCGTTGAACTCCAGGTTTCCGAAGTTGGAAGATTGTTGCGAGTCGTGCCGCAGGGAGGTTGAAACCAGGTTTGGCTCAGGAGAGACTTTTCTGACAGTTCATTCAATCTGAATGGAACAAGCGCTCCGGCTTCCCCAGATTTGAGCTGGTTCAGGATGTATCAGGTCACTTTCCGCACCTGCCTCTGTGGGCTACGAAGCGCAGGGGCCTTTCCTGCCAGGATGGTTCACCAGCGCACAGTTCTCACCTGAACCAGGTAGTACACTGCAGGTGCTTCTCGAGGCAGGTGGCGTTATTTCTTAATGCGTGTGACCCCTTTACAAACAACTTCTCAGTCCCAGAAGGTTTGCACAAATCAGGGAGGATAAATACCTTGCTTGTTACTTAAAACCCGCAGGCCAAGATATTCAACCTTAGGAAGGTTGGTTGGGAGTTGCTAGACGAGTTGTTATAAACTCGGGAAAATCACAGGCGTTTTTGGGACATCCAACCAACACTAGGAAGGATGAACCAAATTTGGCCTTCTTGACCCACGGGTTTTAAGAGGCAATATGCAACCAGACAGAATAAATGCGAAACGATAATGATGGTTATAGAGAACCTGTTCAGGAGAGATAAAGACAATGTTCAGACGTTAATGTTACTGGTTTTATTGTGCTACGATAAATGCCTTTGACATTTCGAAGTTGTGAAGGGATTGTTTTGGCTGTGAAATAAGATAACTAGACAACCATCCATGTTACCTAAAAACACTGGATACTAAAGGAGACACTTACACATGACACATTCCGCGAACACGCATTTCCCCCTTCCTGCGACCCTGAATTCGGCTGATGAGAGATTTGACGGGGAGAATGAACGCGGGTTTTCCTCGATTTCCGCACGGAGCACCACCGTAAGCTATCCTTCCTTCTGCATCTGTATTGCCTTGCCTTGCGGTGCCTTGCACCACTGTCAAGTAGGGCTTTCACTTTCTGACCGCGAATCAGCATAGAAAGGAGAAGGGGTTCAGAGGGGTTACGGCTTTCAAGAGAAGAGATAGTGGGGCAGGTATAGTCACCAGAAAGTTGCCCCGAGTTTACTGGCGGCTTGAGTTTCCCGGTGTTGGAAGTATCGGGGGCAGATTGGTACGTTGGCGGCAGACCTTCCAGATGTGTCCTTTCTTGCCGCACTTGTAGCACACGACGATAGGCCTCGGGTTCCTCTTCCTCTTCTCCATCAGGTCCAGGTCCATAGGTGCAGGTTCTTGCAGATTTGAGTCCGTTGGAGTAGAGGGCTGGTAGGAGGGAGCAAACAGGAGAAACGGGCTACGAGGAAAGCGAGGCTTGTTGTATGCATAATGGACAGCATCATACCGTTCAGCCACGCGTATCATTTCCTCGAGCGTAGAGCAGTCCCTCAGCTCGACCTCCATGCGCACGTTCGTTTTCAGCCCGCGCTTGAAGCGATCCATCCGTTCAGCATCGGAAAGGTCCGGGATCTCTTGAGCGATGTCACGGAAGCGAGAAGCGTATTCTTGAACAGATTTGAGCTGCTTCAGAGTAGCCAAGGAGTCTCGTGCTCGGATGTTCGGGTTCACCGGTTGAAAGGTAGCAGTGAAGACTTGCTTGAATTGATCCCATGACTGGATGGTCGCATGCACGGATTGCCACCAGGTGATAGCAGATCCACGAAGAAGGGTGCCAGTGAAAGCAGTCCACTCGGCAGGAACTATGTGACTTAGGAGCAGGTATTGCTCAACAAGAAAGAGCCAACGGCTCACGACTGGTTGGTTTCTCCCGCGAAAGAAAAAATCAGGAAGAGCGGGTCTAGCGCGCTGATTTCCGTCTGGCGGTGCAGCAGGGCTCGAGGTTGCTGCCGCCACTCCAGCTGCAGCTACACTAGCTTGCATCTCAGCTTGCAAGCTCTCTCTAACTTCAGCAACAAGTTGGGCTCGGTACGTTTCCAAGTAGCTGGCCCATTCATCACGAGAAGGTACCTTACTAGTCGTCATGACGCTGTTTTCAAGAAAAGGAGGATCGAAGATAGCTCGGATACCAAATGAAACAGCCACTAAGCTGATTTGGCAGAGTAGTAGTAGTAGGTAGGAGAATTCCAGAAAGATAGTAGCAAGATAGCTTTACAAGAGATCATATGATGGCTTACATTTCAGAGGTACATCCTATTATACTAGGATACTTGTTATAGTCACAATAGGCTTGAATGTGCCTAAAACGAAAGATAGAGAGCACAGACGGATTTCTGCACAGCGGCTTCAAACGTTGATAGCGTTCTGCTCACAGCTGCAAATGACTTGATTCAAATTGGATCTGGAGCGTCTTCACGTCGTCTACAATTAGCAATTTAGATTGCACAATTGGATAAAGAATTGACGACACAGCGTCGGTTTGAACGAACGGTACTATGGCAGCCACTATAGTCTTAGAACACAAGATAGGAAGAGTTACGAGTTGGGAATGACTCCCAGCTCCTACAAACCCCAAGAGCCGAGGTACAGTGATGTGGAACAGTGATGTGGGGCCGGGTAAGGGCGGCGCGATGGCCGCGGGGTAGGCGACGAGGCCGCCGGGCGGCGGGTCGGGGCCAGGAAGGGCGGCGCGAGGGCCGCAAGGCAGGCGACAGGGCCGCTAGGGCGGCGCGACGGGGCGAGAAAAAAAAAAGAGAGGGGGGAGCGCGACTCGGGCTAGGACTGAGCGCGCTCCGGGCAGAAAAAAAAAATGTCGAATTGGTGGGCCTTAGGAACAGTTCCCACGAGGGAACCTGCTCGATACCATGTTAGAATAGAAACGAGAATGGATGGACTAAGGGAAAGTTGGGTACAAATGTAAACCCTAGAAAACTGTACCCCATATGTGCTACCCCACTATAGCCTACAGTAGCTATGTCATATAAATCTGACAGCGACATACTGATCTACAGCCCCGACAGGACACAACACTTACATAGCATCGAATTTGTTTTCAAGATTTTAGCCTTGAGAACCGACTTCTTACCAAAGCATCTCAATGTGAGTTTTTACAGGACAAACACTGAAATTCCTATGCCATATTATTTTGGCCATGGCATGGAAACACACTGGAAAACAATCGCAACGATTTAGGACTGGAACCCGCCGACCAACCTGACCGAGCTGCAGTTTTTTTGGGGTTTGTCGACTACGTGCGCTGGTTCGTCCCCGACATGGCGAAGATGACTGCCCTGCTGACCGACCTGCTGCAGAAGGGGGTTGAGTAGACGTGGGGGGAGAAAGAGCATGCTGCCTTCTCTGCGCCGAAGCAAACTTGAGCTCGCCGCCTGATCTGCATATCACCGTAGCAAGCAACGTCGCCGTCAGAGCCGTACAGTTTCACGACTTAAATAATGGCCTTCAGCCAATCGCGTACAAGTCCCGCAAGCTTCACTTGTCCGAACGCAACTACCCGATACACGACCGTGAGATGACCGCCATCGTGCACGCGTTCAAAATGTGGCGGTGCTACCTGATAGGAGTAAACATGACACTACGGATCTATGGATACCTTCGCTCGCTACAATATCTTCGCGCACAACCGAATCTCGACCAATGACAGATACAATGGATGGACTCTATGAAGTCCAAATTTCACCTCCCCGTTACATAAAAATAAGGTGCCTCAAATCTCGTCGACGCTGTCACCCGCCCCACGGCCCAACTACACGCCATACTCACCCAAACCAACCTGCTACTGACCAGACTATCCACCCACGGCTACCGCACCGACCCGTTTTCACCACCTGCGATTCGCAGCAGCTGACAAAGGCCAAGGGAGTTTACTACGTAAAATCAGGCACCAAGTGCATCTGAGTACCGGCAAAATTACTGCTAAGAGAACTGCTATTGCAGGAAGGAAGCATATGTAGGGATTACCTCGAGCCATTTCGGGGTTGAATAACACGATAGAAGTTGCAGCAGTATTACTATTGACCGGAGCTGTTGACCGATGTACACCTACAGATGGAAACGTGCCCCACGTGCCAGATAATGAAGATTAAGCGAAAAACGTAAGCGGATCAACTTCAGCCAATTCCGCCACACGAACACGCCTAGCAGCACGTGACTATGGATTTAGTCACAAGGTTACCTGCGAGCCCCCGTGGTAACGAAACAGCAATGGTCGTCGTTGATCGACTAACGAAAATGGCTCATTTTGCTGCGTGCAAAAAAACAATCTCGGCTGAAGAAACCACGCGCCTGTTCATCGCAACCGTCGTTTGCCTGCACGAGATACTAGCCGCCATCATCAGCGATAGGGACACGAATTCACTAGAAACTTCTGGAAGAACCTCTCGGTGCAGTTCGAGATCGCTACAAATCTGTTTGTCCTACCACCCCGAGACCGACGAGTAAATCGACAGAACTAACCAGACCATGGAGCAGCCGATTTGTGCCACGTGTGCCGATCCCGCAACTTGGGAGCTACAGTTGCCGCTGATCGAGTTCGCCTAACAAAACGCCATGTTAGCAACTACGCAAGAGTCGCCATTTTACATATATCATGGGCAGAACCCTATAATGCCCTTAACACCGAATCCAGGCAACCCGACACCACGAGCGCAACGGTCTGCCGAAATTCTACACGCTGCCTGAACACGCGCAGGAGAGGCAATTAAAAACGAATGTTATGCCCAAAAGGAACGACGACCGCCACCGCCGCCCAGTCACATATTAGGCAGGAATCTACATTCTGCTCGACACTCAGAAATTACGTCTGCCTGTCGAGCAGAACGCTAGCACTACGGCCCGTTCCAGAAAAGCCATATGATTACGCCCGTCACTACCACCTCCTGTTATTAATTGACTGGTACACCAGCAT